TTTTTTCTCTAAAATCAATGAACATGTCCTCAGGTGAGGATTTAAAAAATACAATGATGGTGTATCAACCACATTTTTCAGAGAACAAAGAATGAACTGAGACTTTGGCTATTTGTGCAAGTTCAGCCACTGAGACTAGGGATAGACCTCGCCTTAGGGTGGTGTCAGAACAGGAACTCTGTTGACCCATGGCTGGCTTTAAATTCTGCCCTGTGGCCTTGTAAAGTGGATTTCCCTCTTTGTCCCTTAGTTTCATCATCTATAAAATGGAGGTGATAACAGTACCTACTTCACAGGGTGATGGATTTTAAACAAGTTATGTGATGTAAAGTATTCACAATCATGCCTGGTACCTCATCAGTGTTCCAAGCATGTGTTAATATCACTATGTTTAATGATCATTATTATTTGTATCTAGTGCCAGAATCTAAGCTTTTAACTACTACAGTAAACTGGGATATTTGGAAAAGCAGTGATAACAGTAATACCAACCTCAGGCCCCAGAAAATAAATTGAGGGCCTCAGATTCTGTACCCTAGAGCACACTAGTCTATAAGAAGAATCATGTGTTTGTTGCATGACTCTCCTTTGGAAATGAGTGACAGGGAGGAGATTCAGGAAAATTCACTATGGAAGGCATTGCAATGTAGCTTCCAGTGGGAAGTGTTATTTAAGAAAGAATATTTAAATTAGCAATAAATTTTTATAAAAGAAAAACTTCTCAGAGTTATTTTTGAAAGCATAGTTATACTTTTAGCAAATCATATTTACTCAAAAAGTTTAATTGAAAAATATCTTTTAAAGTATATGAATCAATGTTAGCCATGTAGCCACCAGTCCTGCTGGTGGGAATAGGAAGGGTGAAAGGAAAGAATTGTGAGGAGTAATGAGCAAGGAAGCGATTCTTGTGTGTGTGCATGTGCGCATGTGTGCGTTTGTGTGGGGGGAGGCGGGGGGAGGAGGATGCAATGACATTATGACTCCCAATGTGGTCTGAGAGCAAACCTGCTTGAAAATAAAATCCCAGAGCATCGTAATGATTGGGAACAATGTATACTAGTATAAAGAGAGGAATTTCAAATTTCAAAGATAAATTTTTAAATTTCTTAAATTTTTAAATAAAAATAAAGAGAGGGATTTCAACCTACAACCCAAATGATGCACAATAAGCAGGGATGGTTGACTGTGATGTGCACAGGCGAGGGAAGGGCTGTGTCTCATGCTTATCACCCCAGGAGGAGGCTCTAAGGAACTGTAGATGTGGCATTAAAATGCACCAGGATTCACATTCTGTATTAAAATTAGGGGAATTATTTTTAAATCATACTTTACATAAATAACTTTGCTTAGAAAATAGCACTAAATGAAAAAATCCAAACTGCACTGAAAAAAATATTTACCAAATCATACAACTATTGAGGTTGGTAGGAACAGAGTGGGATGGGTCAATGGAATCAATAATGAACCAAGGAGGCTCACCATAGGGAAGAGGGTGCACTGGTCCTGGGTGGTTTACTCAGGGATTCATTCCTTATGGGCTTCTGCTCTGCTCTGCCCTCTATCTCTGGCCACAGACCCCTGCAGCCTTGCTTGCTAGGTCTCTTGCTACATCTTCCTGCTGGATTCCTAAACTGGGAGACACCAGCAAGGGAGTGGAGAGTGGAAGCAAGGGAGAAGCATGGTATTTCCCTATCACTGTCTTGGGCAGCAATTCTCTTGATAGCTGCATCTCCCATGACTCTACCTCCCACCAAGCAGGCCAGCTATGGTCCAGCTTCTACCTACCCGGTGACTTGACACATGAGCTCACCCTTGGTCCCTCCCATAGCTTCCTGTTGACTATTCTTCAATTTGGAATTGTCAGCTCTTCCACCAGATGTATAACTAACCCCCTGGATTAAATTCCCTCTGCTCCAAAGGCTTAGAGAGCTTTATATTTTCCTGTTGGACCCTGATTGATGCTCAAAGCAAATAAAATATCTATTAATCAAAACGTTGTTTAGGTACATCCCCACCTGAAAATGGACTATCAGAGCACCATCGTGAAAGAGGACAGATAAATGTGAATGAAACAGTTACAACCAGTAACAATGATGATGCACTAGAAAGCCAACAAGCAAATGAACAATGTACGCAAGAGACTGAGTCAGCAGGTAAGCCTGAATGACTGGGTTTGATGAATGTGGAGAGGCCAAGGGGCATTTGCTGGTGGCAGAGAATGAAGTAAGGTAAGACTCAAGGAGACATTCATTAACAAAAAGAGGGAAATCACTCAGACACACAGAGTGCAGAAATGGATCCTGATATATTGATAGGAGAGACCTGGAGAAAAAGAGAAATACTAAGATAAGAGACAAAGGGAGAAGAGCTGCAGAGCCTCACTGGGGAAGATAGACAGAAACAAAAGTCAAAATAAGTCAAAGAGAGATTTACCGTGGAATCAACGAAACACAAACACTTTCACTGAGTGAAAGTGGCAATATATGCAGTCAGGCTCTAAGTAGGAACAGGAGAAGAAAAGAGAAGCCAGTAAGGTGCAACAAAATAGTAATAGGCAGAGTAAGGCTCTGTGGGACCTCAGCTGTTGTCTTTTTTTATTTCAGAGTCCTATGAACAAGTACCCATCCAAGAAAATAATGGAAATGCAAGACTAGAGATGCCCAGCCCATTGCCCTCTGATGAAGAAAGTAATTATTACCTACCTTACCATTGATCTAAGTATATCTTTGCTTTTCTATGAGAGCAAAAGCTTTCCTTTGTTGTCCCATAGTAGCCATCTCCCCCAACCACCTAAACACCACGCAAGACACACAGCCTTGTGCACAGCCTCTAGCTGTTTTTAACAGGTGGAAAAGGCCAGGGTGAAAGAGAACTCAGCTCTTTGATAAAGGATCATCCCTGGAGGAAAATGCAAAGAGAGAAACTATGGAGAAGGTGGACTGGGAACACCAAACAACAATGTAAAAGAGTAAGATAGAGTTCACATAAATTGACATGGAATCCAACCAGTGCCGTGTTGTGAAGTTGGTGAAAAGAAATAAGCTGCACTTCACTTTTAGAATTTATAACAGAAACATGGAAGTCATGGGTAATGCTGCTGGTTAGATCTTCAACTAAGGAAGCCCAGGTGAAGGACCTTTAGAATGAAGTGGCAGGTGGAGGGATTTTATGCAGTGCACAAAATCACAGGGGACAACTTTGGTGATGATTTGAATGCTTGAGATGAGGAAAATATATGGAAAGACAAAATTGATACAGAAGAGGCATACACACAGGTCCCATTACCAATTAAAAACCAGGGATAGAATGGGAGAAAGCAGGAACCAAACAGAGAATGTAGGAACTAAAAAATCAGCTAGGGGATAGCAGCGCCAGGTCTAGAATGAGGCAAGAGAAACCTGAGGTGACAGATAAAGGGGATCTCACTCAGCACCTTCTTGTGTCCTGAGCACCTCATTTGCATCACCTTAGAGTCCCAGCCGTGGGCAAACTACAGCCCGCAGGCCAGATCCGGCCTGTTTGAAATGAATAAAACAAACCAAAAAGAGTCAAAAAGTTTGCCCACCCCTGCTTAGACCCTGCTGGGCCCTGAGGGAAAGACATAAAAATGTGAAGGAAAAGAATATGAACAAAGAAAGACACAGAAGGAAATGAATGCCAGTACATAGAAAAACTGAGGGAGACACAAAAGAAACTATGTAAAGAATGAGTAAAGAACAATGAATAAAAAACTGGTAGAGAGATGGCTGAATAAAGAGAGAGAGCAGACAAATCAAGATATTGTTTTATTTGAGAGACAGTCATAGGTAAAAAGACATAAGGGGCTGTTCATAATACCATTGAGAAGTTAAGGTGTCCACAATGATCAAAAGGGCCCTGAAACATTCTCAGATAAAAATAGGCCTCCTATTGCTTCTTGGCCTTTTGACTAAGATCGGGTGTAGTATCTATTTTTTTCAGTTTAGTATCTGATACATCCTCTCTCTGAGGACAGTGTTTTGTGGGGTTGTATGGTGTCACCCCAATGAATTCAATTAAAAAGATAATTTTTTTAAATGGCCTCTTTCCAGATATCTAATTATTTCCATGACTTCAGTCACCATTTATGATCTATTGATTTCCAAACACACATCTCCAGTCCAGATCTGTCACCTATACTCATTTGATCAAGTGCCTGAAGCTCTTGATGGGAAGATCTAATGAAGATCTCTACTGGAGGCTGTATCAGTTATCTACTGCTGAGTGACAAACAGTTCCAAAATGTAGTGGATTAAAACAACCATGATTTTATTTGCCACTTCTGTCAATGCCAACTTTTACAAATCTCCTCCAACCTTTCCATTTTTTCCATACCCAGCACGCTACTCTAATCCAGACCCCCTTCACTTCTCACTTCAGTATAGGAACAGTCTCCTGCTGGGCTCCTTTTTCCTATCATGCTCCTTTCAGATCCATTCTTCACACTTCAGCTCAATGGGCCTTTCAAAAATTCAAACAAGATCTTATGGCTCTACTGTTTAAAACCCAATACCATCTTGTGGCCCTCAGTATTAGGTCAATACTGCATGCTGTGGGGATTAAAGGACACCTACCATGGCTTCATATTTCCCCTTCCTTCATGCCACCTTCCCATTGAAAAAAACTCCTTTTAGTTACTTGAATTTGCCAAGCTCTCACAACTAAATCTCTGCCTTTACACATGCTTTTGGATAACAGTTTGGTATAATCTTTTAATGGTTTTATTTTTTAATGGATAATTTATATTATGGAATACTGTACAGCAGTGAAAATAAATGTGCAATGTAAATACAAATGACTTTAACACACATAATGTTGAAAAAATAAGTCAAATCCCCACAACTAAATGGCAGAGAAGCAGAGACATAAAGAAGACATGGTTCCATTTATACAAATTTATATAAAATATAGAACTGACAAACTTAATTATCTGTGATATTGAAAGTCAAAGTGATGGTTAACTTAAGAAAGATTGGTGGGAACAGCTAGTAACAGTCATCACTAAGAGGCTTCTGGGGTGTTGTCAATCTTCTATTACTTGACCAAAGTTATGGTTACTCAGATATGCTTCCTCTATGACAGTGGTTCTCAACCTTCCTAATGCCGCGACCCTTTAATACAATTCCTCATGTTGTGGTGACCCCCAATTTCATTGTTACAAATTGAACATAATTAAAGCATAGTGATTAATCATAAAAACAATATGTAATTATATATGTGTTTTCCAATGGTCTTAGGTGACCCCTGTGAAAGGGTCATTCAACCCCCAAAGGGGTCACCACCCACAGGTTGAGAACCGCTGCTCTATAATAATTCAAAATACATGATTTACCCATTTTTATCCATGTATGTTTACAGTGATTATTATTCTTATTTTTGAAAAAGCAAATAAAAAATCATCGTCATCAAATAATGAGAAGAGTGAGTAAAAACAAAAAACAATGATAGTTAAGAGATGCATAAAGGAAAGACAGAGTTGAGCAGCTGAAAGGAGAGGGATGGGGGTAACTTTCCCTAGGGTGGAATTACAGGGAGAAGGGCTTGTTGATTGTAGTGAGGGTGCTCTCTCCCTTTGTGGGAGACAAATAAAATTCTTCATTTATTATAATTTTGTTCAGGAGCAGAACTACCCAACCATGGAATCCAAATAAATTCCTGTTCTGTACGTCTGGTAGATATAAAGAAGGAAAAGCCATTTTTTAATACAAATGTTGAAAAGGAAACCCAAATATCTGACATAATAGGTAAGACTGACTGAAAGAATGTGTGATATGAATCCCAGATACTGTGTAAGGGTCTGGCACATGTCACCAGGGTCCACCGAGGAGATTCAGGTGACCTTGGACGGAGGCAGGAGAAGAGGGAACCAGCACCTTAGCAGTGATTTTTTAGCAGAAGAGGATTCCTAGGAATTGAAAAAAATGCCAAAAAACTGAAATTGCAGATATAAGAATTGATGTCTGAGAAACTATTTCTAAAATAAGAGAGTAATGTACAGTGGTAGGAGATGAAGAAAAGAGAAAACAAAAGATTTTTTAAAAGAAAAAAATAATCAGAGCCAAGATACTTCTGAGAGGAAATGAGAAAGAAATGCATGAAGAAAAAAAGAGGTATAAAGAGATAACATCCCCAGAAAGACAGGCATAATTAAGGGAAATGGGCTGAGCCAAGAGGAAGGTGAAGTAAAATGAGAATGAAAGAGAGGTGGAATGAGGGTGGGGATTAGAGGTAGACTGAGGATGGAGGTAGGAGATAGAGTAAGGGTGGGAGGAAGAAGTGTGCTGCAGGATGGGCAAAGCTGCTCTCTGTGCATGAATTTCACCACCTTCTGGGTAGGACTTGGAGCCACCTGCAGGTCGCACATTTGGGTACAGACCAGGGAGACCTGAGTTAACTTAGCTTCTCGTTATGGGGTTTTCTGTCCATGGGCTCCTTGGCCCCATCCTGAGACATTAAGGGGTTTTTTCTCTTCTGTGCAGTGATCAGCAGTGATGAAGATGAGTCCCCCAAAGCCTCTACCTCGGAACAAAGAAGGAGGCCTGGTAAGGAGGTGGGAGCTCAAGGCTGGGGCTGCAGGAACCTCAATTAAGTGCTACTGTTTCCAGAGACATCAGTTCTGATTTATTCTGTACCACGGATCCAGTTTATCCTGCAATCCCATTCTCTGCATTCATTTTACCTTGACCTTTTTGGGAAATGCAAGAAGATAAGAAATAGTTAGATATATATAATTATTAAATATACATATACATTTTTTTGAGGATGACATCTATTGATGGGTCCTAATAGTCAACATATGTACTCTAAATTGATTGTACAGTAGAAATAAGCTAGCACTAACTAGTTGTTATGACTATAAAGTGCTGGATTTCTACAGTAATTTCTATAGAGAAAAGAAACCTCATATTTCTTAATTGGACAGTCATGTTGTCATCTGATTACAAACTTTGAATCATGTCTGAAGGTAATTCATCCAGCTCTCTAGTGTTAGCAGAAATAAATACTTCACGTAAAGTATTCTGAAACCCAAAGTGTTGTTTTTTAGAGTTTTTCAGCAACTCATGATATATAGAGTGATTTTTTCAAAGGACCTTTGCAAATAGTGTCTTAGTTTTTCCTTTATAACAGCCTTGAGGATTAAGCAGGAAGGACACTATTCTTGTTTCTGAATGAGAAAATGCAATCACATAAACCTTTCAGGGTCATCTACAAAGCCTCATGAAAATTAAGGGAAAGACAAAGCTGCTGGATTCTGTGTTATTTCCTTTGTAAATTAGAGCTCAAAATGGTTAACAAAATGTTGTTTCCTCAATCCCATGAGCAGCACAAATGGTCACAAATGACAGCTATTTAGTGCACAGACTGGTGATTGGTTTTCCCTTCCTACTTTCTCAGAGAGTATTTAGGAAAACACACTAGGAAAAGATCTAAGAACAAATAAAAATGTTACCTGGTCTTGAGGTTACAAATGATCAGTATTTCAAATAATATGTTCATTCCACTGATCACTAGATCTATCAAAGTAAAATGTAAATGTACTTCAGTTTTCAGGGAGTATGAGTTCTAACTTATGTGTTAGTGTAAGCAAACTGTTCTAAAAGGCCATTTCGATATAGGTCTACGTCTCAGACACAAGAGAACATTATTTCTCAGCCTTGTAAACAGTTCAAGTTGGTGTACAGGAGGCTCTTTACCTTTAGCACAAGATTTCCAAGTTCTCCCCACAAAGAAACAACAAATAAAGGAAGTGTGAAATGACAAAAGAAGGGGTAAGAGGCAGGAGAGAGGTGTAGGAAAGTAAGGTTCAAACAGAGCAGAGGGGCTCTTTGCTAGTGACTTGTCTCTGTTCTAGGGACAAGGAATGGAGCATCACTAACCTACAAGGCAGGTGACATAGAGGGACAGACCAGATGGGCCTGTGTGTAGGCCATGGTATACATGGGTTTTCAAGATTTTTAAAGTTGTATTAGAGCAGTGGTCGGCAAACTGCGGCTCGCAAGCCACATGTGGCTCTTTGGCCCCTTGAGTGTGGCCACGAAGTTTCAATCGCACTGTACGTGCGCGCCCACACGTGGTATTTTGTGGAAGAGCGACACTCAAGGAGCCACAGTTTGCCGACCACTGTATTAGAAAATTTCCTGCTGAACCAGTTTCTTGGTCACATACTGAGACATCTAAAGAATCCTATTCTTTTTTGCACTGATCAATAACCTTGACTCCTTAGAATCAAATGAGGAAGGAGAGATCCAAGAAGCCACCTGCTCAGCACCTGAGATTGCACCACATTTAAGAATATTAGGATTGCATTCCTGGATGAAAAATATCCAGAGTCTAAACCCAGAGCTCTATTTCCTAATAAATCTTATTCTGACATACTCTATAGGCATTGGTTCTATTACTTCTAGGGCACAATTTTCTGCTTTTAACTTCTTTGACCCTTTGGAATATGAAAGAGGGCAAAAAGGCATTATAAACTATTGTTTAATTAGATGAGCCCAATCAATTGATATATTGAAAGGGTAGAAATAATACACTAGCAAATGACTGTCTTTTTTACTACACACTATCATATCTATTAGTGCTGAAGAATTGAAATAATATAGGTAGTCTTTACCAACATGCTTTATATTCTACAGAGCATAGTAAGCACAGCATTTCTGTATTTGTTGACAATATTGTCATTAGTCCCCAACTTAGAAAGTCTTCAAAGAATAATTTGTGCTGCTACTTAATTATTGACATAAAAATAGCTTCAGCCCAACTACTCTCAAATCCAAATGATAGTTAAGTGGTGGACTTACATTGTGATTTTTCACAGGGCTTTTATGAATAAAGATTTGTTTTGTTTTCACAAATATTTTAACTGGGAGATAGAGTAACTAAGTTATCCCCACATTATAGATGAGAAAACTGGAGATAGAAAGTGTAAGGGTCGGTTAAAAAATTCACATGGAGTGTCAAAGGGAGAGCCCAGCATTATGACCCTGGGCACCAGAACTTGATTCAGTTGAAGAAAAGAGGAAAATGATCATCTCAACATCAATATTATCATAAACCCTATCTGCTATGTGACTTATCATAGAATTTGTAAGACTTTGTTGTACAAATAGCTGTTTCTTCCCTCCTACTTTACAGAGCCCCTGGATTTGAGAACATCACCCACATGCAGGAAAAGACTTTGGGAAAATGGTAAGAGTAAATAAAAATTCTTCATAGTTATAAATGAACAGTATTTCCTACAAAATATCCATTCTAACTTTTTTATGTCCTTCAAAGTAAAATATAAATTTGCTTTAATTTTAGCTGGTTTGGATTTTAACTTTTGTATAAGTTAGGCTAATGACTATAACATATAAACACAAAGAGTCAAAGACTCAAACACAATAGAATTTGAATTTTTTCTCAAGTAAACATTCCTAGGAGGATTAGATAGTGTGCAGGTGGGGCTCTATTTCACAAAGTCATTCTGGAAAGCAGCCATGGGGAGATCTGCCTTCTTCAATACCAGATTTCCAAGGCAGCCCTGAAAGAGGAGCAGAGCTAAAAATAAATGTGAACACAGATAAAAAGCAACAACAAATCCATAAAGAGACAAGTAAAAGAAGAAAGCAAATCCAGTATTAAGAAAAACAGAGGGTCAAGAGAAAGCAGAGATGCCCACTGGGATGAAATAGCTTAGTCCCAAGCTCAGGGGAAAAGGGGGATAAAATACTGACCTACAGGTCACATGAATACAAAAGGCAGGTCAAGGAGGTCTCAGGGAGAGTCATTCTAGCCCTGGGTTTTCAGAGCTTCCCAGGTTTTTCCTCTCTAGGCTCCTTTTCATACACTGAGACCTTCAAAGGGACATTTGCTTCTTCTTCAGGGAGAAATCATGAAGAGTCTTCTGAGTCCAGTGCAGATCTGACGCCCCCGGAAATCAGGAGTTATACCGTGAGAAGTGGTCCTGATGAGGAGGGTGAGGACTGCCATTGCTGGGCTCCAGGACATCAGGAGTCTGAGCTCATGGTTCCTGTTTCTCTGAGCACATACCATGGCCCAGGGAGCCCATTCCTGCCTTGGTCTCATGTGGCCACTTTAAAAACTGCAAAGAGAGGAAACATAATTCTGGCTTAACCAAAAAGGATGGCTCTTGTTTGATGGCAGTGAATCTTATTCCATGTTCTCAGACCTGTCATCATCCCCAAGTGTGGTGGATCACATTGAGATCTTCCCATACTCACCAGCTATTCTGCACAGAGCAGAGAAAGTGGGACAGTCAGCTACTGTTCAGTTTGTCATAAACTTGTTCAAACCTCAATGGACTCTGGTCACGCTCTCTGTTGACAGAAGGAACAGCTTCTGGTTATTATCATCAAATCCCATTTATAACTTTTGTCTGATGACCCCCAATATAACATTGGCCTACAGATTGATATTTTTTGAAATAGCTTCACAATTATGGGAAATCACAAATGTGATAAATAGTTTACATAGACTCATGGCAGCTAAATCCAGATTCACTGCCAAATTAGTTAGCTGCCAGCCTATGAAAAATTGTTGGTTTTCTTTTTTTTTAATTTTGTTTTATTGCTTAAAGTATTACAAAGAGTATTACTTATGTCTCCTTTTTTTTCTCCCCTTGACCTTCCCCTGGCCTCCCCTACCCCCCAGTGTCTTGTGTCCATTGGTTATGCTTATATGCATGCATACAAGTCCTTCGGTTGATCTCTGTTGGTTTTCTAACACTAATTTTGCATATGGGCTAAAGGATGTGGGTCTTTGCTCCACTTGGTATTGATCTCTTTCCTTTAGATGGGAAGAAACAGAAATAAAAATTATCCCATCTTTATGTTCCAAAGCCTTCTACAATGTGAAGAGTCCTAAGATTTAACTCTTTTCATTATGGAGTACTAGTTGTGTTTTCCCTTATCTCCTAGATTCCCCAGATATTGGAAACCAATCTACTTTGAAGATGAGCAATAAGAAAAGACGTAAGAACAATCAAAACTCTTGATGTAACAAATTGCTTTCTTTGCTACAAAAGCTTCAGCCAATTTTTTGTTATATCCTTTACATTTAAAAAAGTTATTAGGATTTTAGGTGATACACATGATACATTTTGCATTGGGTGGGCTGAGCTAATTGGTATAAAAGTTTAATGGCATTATGACCAATGCAAGTTTATGTTCTTCACTCAAATAAAGGACAAAGTAGTTCTGAGGTGGAGGGATACTCTGCTCCACACGATCATTGAGGACCCGGCTGATACAGGCCCTGACTTCTAGAAAATGTTGCTTCCATGGTTCCCCTGGAAAAAACAGAGTAGAAGTAGAAGTATCTACAGATAAGTGGAAGGTTAAGAAATGATGACAAAAGGAAGTGCCTTCCATGGCAAAGTTGTCTCTGGCTTTGGGTATGGTTCCCGCAGCAACCTTGACCAACATGTCAGATGGAGCCACAGGGTGGTCTGGCAGTAGGAATGTTCCTACCCCTCTTACACAAGCTTTCTTTTTCCAATTTTTCTTTTGAGGATCCCATGCTGGGTTGGTTCCTAGGATGCAGACTGGGACTGTTACGGAATTTTATTTTTTTCTGCAGGGATCAGCAGTGGTGACTCTTCAGAATTGAGTAATGGAGAAGAGCCTCAGGAAACTTCTAGTTCAGCCCTCAGAAATGGGTCAGGTAACGAAGATTAAGATGCCAAGCCTTGGTCTGCGAATGTCAGAAATCTGAAATTAAAGCTACTGTTTCCAGATGCATTTTTCTCTGAGCATCTTGAAGAACTTATACCCAGTTAATCCTGGCAACTCCTTTCAGCATTTTAGAAAATGGGAGGAGGCAGGAAATTATTACAAACTCATGTTTAACAGGATGAGTCCTATTGACTAAATGTATATAATTATACATTGCTGTTTTAAAAGAAATAAATAGAAAAATGATAACATCTTTTTAAATACCTGCTGTGATGCCCACTAAGATCTTAGATTATATTGGTTCACATTAATATCATTTGTAACAGTAAAAGAGAACTGGCCCTGCTATGTAATTATAGACAGAAATAAAGCTTCGGATCAACCACTCTCAAACTTAGAATAGTTTTTAAAGATTTCCATCACAATGTAATTGGATTATATCGTGTTATTTTAATGAAGTACTTTGGCAAATGAGATTTTACTTAATCATCACAAAATCTTGAAGACTTAGGCAGGCTAATTCTTTTGTTGTTGTTAATCCTCACCTGAGGGTACTTTTTCATTTGATTTTTAGAAAGAGAGGAAGAGACAGAAAGAAACATTGATGTGAGAGAGAAACGGATTGGTTGCCTCACACACCAAGGTACTGGAATCGAACCAGAACCCTCAGTCTGTGGGCCAAAGCTCTATCCACTGAGCCAAACTAGCTAGGGCTAGGCAGGCTAATTCTTTCTATCCCCATTTTAGGATAAGGAAATTGATGTAAAAGTTTATAAGGGTCAAAAAGGATGAGTGTTGCATGTAACAGGCAGGAAAATAAGGGCTATTTCAATATGAAGTCCAAAGAGGAGGTACAAGGGACTTGGCATATTCACAAGGGAATGTATCAGTGCCTGATATAAGAAAACTTTTCTAGCAAACAACAATAAATAAATATATACATATATATATATATGTGTGTGATGTATTGTTATAACCACCTATAATGGTGTAGATATTAATATATTAATATCTTGATAGAGAAGGAAATATGAAAATCATAAAGAATCAGAAAGGTAGAAATAGAGCCAGCTATATAGTATACAAAACACCTAGAATAATAAAACTAGAAAGAATGGACAGAGAAATAAAAATAAACAGTGATTAAGAGTGTCATTGATTTAAAAAGAGAAATCAAGGACAGAGAAGCTCACAAAATCGACAGGATGGAGACAGAAAGTATAAGGCAGAGCAATGAGCAAAAAAACTGAGAAGTAATAAGAAAATGAGGTATGGCTAGATAGAAAAAGAAACGGGTATTCATTGTATGTGAGGTGTAGTCATTGGAGTAGGTGTACTTTTCCCTAGCTCATCTGAGCTGTGAATATAATTCAGCATAACCACATTGAAGTGCGTTCCTGGTCACCATGTACTGTGTGTCATTTTCTTACTTCCCGTCAGTGTCCAGTGTCCTGTCTTCAAATGAATAGAGGAAGAGAGTCAGAAGAGATGCCAGCCTGATAGACTGTGGTGGAGAAGCCAATTTTGATACTACTTATCAGTTATCTTTGTTTTCCTGTCTGCACAGAAGAAAAGCTCTTCCTTCTTTTCCCTACCTCTCCCCAAAAACATTGCATCACATGTGCACACAACTGAACACACAGTCATAAACAGACAGATTTGAGCAAAGATTAGGACTACAGCCTCCACTTTGAGGGGAACAGAAGAGAAAGAGGAGCAGGGCTCCTGAATGGAGGGAGGGGACAATGAGTAGATAATGTGAGGAGAATGGAAAAGATAGGCTGAAGTCATCAAATGAAAAGGTATCTGAGTAAGTTTCAAGGTTTTCTAAGTGGACATGGGATCCAAATATCACCAGATGGGGATTTTGTGAGGCAGAGTAGGATGACTTTCAAGATATTTCTCAGAAGTTTACCAGAAATCTATAATAATAAAAGCATAATATGCTAATCAGACCGGACGACCTTCCGGACGGAGCCCGGGTCCCAGGTGCCAGAGGGAAGCCAGTGCTGGCAGCTGGGGGAAGGAAGGCCTACTCTTGCACAAATTTTGTACATCGGGCCTCTAGTATGGTAATAAATTTCATGACTGACAGACCTGCAATGCAGAAAGATCAGAGGAAACTGGCAAAAGAAATAGTGGTCAATAGTGAAGTCAGTGTCAAAAGAGCAGGCATTTGGTGATGATAAAAGTAGTAATTTGTAAGACTAAGTTGAACATCAATGAGGAAAATGTAAAGACAAAGATTGCAATTATAAAAACAGCAAAAAGATCAAGATAAGACAGAGAAGGAAGCAAAGAAGCAAAGAAGAACAAAAGGGAAGTGACAGTGGAAAGAGGATTACTTCAATAGTGAAACCATATCCAGAAGCAGAAGCATAGAGAATAGATGGGAATGAGATGTATATAGGGGGTAATCAATGGAGAGGAATTAGATGAGGCACAAAAAGAACTGTAGAGAAAGAGTTAAAATAAGAGAGAGAGATGGTAGAGAAGATGAGGGCAGTGGGAAAGGGAGAGAAGGGAGATATGGAGAAATTGTGGGATCTGAGATGACCCTAAGACAAAAGCAATGTCTGCACAAGGGGTGGTTCACACCAGCAGTGAGTTTTCAGAGTAAGGTGTCCTCAGGTATCCAAATGGTCTGTGTAACTCACCCAGACTACCAGGCATTTCACCCGTTCTTATGGCTTTAATCACCATCCACAACCTAATGGTTCCTATACATCTCCAGTCCAGCCCTGTCTTCTAAGCTTCTAAACTCATTCATCCAACTGTCAGCATGACCTCTGGTCAAGGTCTTAAAGGCCTTAGCCTTCTCCTCTTAGGTGTCTTTCCATTTGAAACTCAACTCTTCTAAAACTGAGCACATCATCTTTTCCCCTAAACCAACACTTGCTCCCAGTGTTCTCTAGCTCTAAAACACACTATTAATTTACCAGTTCTTTCAAGTTCATATTCTCAGAGTCATCAGTATAGCACTCTGTAACCTAACTCTATTAATTCTTCCTTTTAAATGTCTCCAGGCTGTCCATGCATCTCCATCACCAAAGCTATCACTTTAATCAATGTCTATTATCACTTCTCACTGGAACTAGAGCAGTGGTTCCCAAACTTATTTGGCCTACTGCCCCCTTTCCAGAAAAAATATTACTCAGCGCCCCCTGGAAATTAATTTTTTTTAAATTTTAATAGCAATTAAACAGAAAGATATATGTATTAATGTTTCTACCTTTTTCGTAAAATATAGTAAAGAAAGGTGTAAATTAGAAACATTGAAGTTTGAAATTATGAAACTATTTATTGAACTCAGAATAGAAAGGTAATACAAAAAAAGTTAAAACAAATGCACCTGTGGCCATCACCGCCCCCCCCCCATCGCTGCAGCGCCCACCAGGGGGCGGTAGCGCCCACTTTGTGAATCACTGAACTAGAGTGACAGGGTCCTGCTTGTCCTCCTGCTTTTAATTTTGTTCACAACAAATGTATTCTAAGTTATTTAGCTAAATTGGTCTTTCAAATATGCAAATATGTCCATGCTTATCTCCTACATAAAATCCATTGTCCTTCACTTTCCTTTAGGATTAAGTTAAATTTCCTTTGTGTGGCCCCCAAAGCCACCTACCTTGGGGCTCCTGCTTCTTTCTCCATCATTATCATTGCCACTAACTTTCCTACTTCATGTTCAGACATCCCTAAGCTCCTCTTGGTTACTTGCATTCACTGAATGTAGACCTTTGCACATGCTTCTCCATCCACATGAGGCTATTGTCTTGGTCCCTTTCCTCCATAATCTGACTAACTCCTGCTTCCATGATGCATACTCTGGAAGGAGTCCCCTATCTCAGACTAAACTAGTTCTTTCTGCTGTACCCTCCCCTTCTTCCAGAGTACTCTGTGTGATCTGTGTTCTAACATTCTTCAACTTTCAATATATTCACTTCTTTATGTTTCAATGTCATGGTTGCTCTTAAGTTGACAAGCACTGACACTTCATTAGTCATATGTCCTGCATTGTTATCAGTGTCCATCTCAGCACCTGGCACAAAACAGAAGCTTAACAAATGTGTTGAGTGAATGAAAATAATTGTTTACTCTCTGTATGACAACATTTGGAAATTTGTCTGGCCAAAGTTAGTTTATTAGAGTATCTATATGGAATGTTTATAAAAACTATTTTAATAATTTAATTTTGTGTGTGTGTGTGTGTGTGTGTGTGTGTGTGTGTGTGTAGACATATAAATGTAATAGTATTTCTGGAAAAGAATAACATCACATAAAAATAAATACAAATATTTGTAAAAAATGTCATTAAGGAATGGATGGGAGAAGCACATAAAAAAAAATGGAAAGCCAAAGATGCAGATTTGGGGCAAAGAAAATAGAAGAAAAAAAAAGATTGGAAGGAAGGGACAGAGATAATGAGGAACAACAATAGACAAAGAGATTTCAGAGGTAGAGCCATTCTTTGATGTAGGGGGAAAGGAGGATGATTCAAGGCCAGGGGCGCAAATTAAAATTGCAAATTAAAGTTTTTTACAAATCATAACATAGGAGCAGAGCTCCAAGGACTTGGAAATCAGAAGTGTTCCTGTGTCGTGTGTTCACCAAGTGTTGTGCCAAGAGGCCAAGAAGCAAGGTCTGAATGTAGCCAAGCATCTGACATGATGGGTAAGGCCACCCAAGGATCTTGGGGTGGAGGTGATTCAGCAGATACTACAGACCCTTGGTATGTCAGTGATAGGTGATCAGGGCTCAAGGACAACATCAGGTATCTTACCAGCAGGGAGTAGGTCAGTTATGAAGGTGAGAGTCACAGGACCCAGGCTACAGGATGTCAGGAGTCTGAAATCAGAGTACCTGTTTCCTGCTGCCCTTGACTCTGAGGACACTTTGATAAGGAAGGGGTCCAATTCATGTGAGAATCTCATTCTCTACATTTGCTTGACTTGACCATTTTGAGAACAGCAGGAAGGCAGCAGATCATGATCACGAAATGGGTCCCATTGATTTTACATGGATTGATATACTAGAAATACACTGATTTAAAAAAACAACAGTATCTGGTGTACTATATTAGTGTATCAATACCAAAGTGTTGGATTTATATAGTTACTTCCACGCTTCTTCATGGAGCAAAGAAAGCCAAGTATTCTGTTGGTAGATAATAGTGTCACTTGGTCACAACCTTGAAAAAAACCTCAAAAGACACATAAATGGTCCTGTTACTTGTCAGGAAAAAGACCTCAGATAACTATTCTTAAAACCAACATATAGTTTTAAAGGCTGCCCTCCAGCATGCTATTGATTTATATAGTGATTTCTCATTAACTTTTGCAAATAAGATCTTATTTAATCTTCATTAAGAAATCCAAAGCCTGCCCGGCTGGAAT